AAGTGTCCTGGCCACGGCGGGGCACGTGGTCCAGGGAGCTCGGCGTGAGCGCCACCCGGCCTGACCTGGGGTGGGGGTCGCGTTGGGACTCGAGGGAGCAGGTGTGCGCTTTGGCAGGGCCAGGGAGGGGTTCAGGTGGTCTCCTAGGTTTCTACCTGTAGGGCTCAGTGCTGCCCGTCACTGACTGGGAACACGGGAGAAACAGGGCCTGCAGAGGAGAAGCAAATGAGGCAAGACATATTCTTCCTTCATTTATTACACCTGGACTAACGCAGTGGCGTCATGGCCTCTTCGGTCTTCAAAGCCGCTTTCTGGAGCTATGTGGCAGGGACCAGGTACAAATACCAGAGAGTCCTGCCCGTTATCCACCTGCAGATGTGCGCTGTGCGCCTGCTGTACCCGGTGCACTGTTGGGGGCGCTCGGGACCCTGTCCTTGGGGAGACCCAGACTATAAACAGTGAGCACAGTGCCCAGGCCGATGGGTATGTGAGAGGTGAATTCTGGGAGGGGCAGGAGGCAGAGGCAGGGAAAGGGGGTCAGGGACAGAGGTGAAGGGCAAGGTGCTGTCTGGTATAGTGTGGTCAGGTATAGGTGGCTAGGGAGCCACAACAAAGAACCACAGACAGAGTGGCATAAAATACAGAAGTCTGTTTTCCCAAATTAGGGAGGTTTGGAGGTCTGAGGTCAGTGTCAATAGAGTCGGTTTCCCCTGAGGCCTGTCCTTAGCTTGTGGCTGATGGTCATCTCTATGTATGTGTCCCAGTCTCCTCTTTTTATGGAATTTTTTTTGTTGGTTGGTACTGGGAATCGAACTCAGGGCCTCGCGCTTGCCAGGCATGTGCTTTGTCCCTGAGCTACATCTTTTTATAAGGACACCAGCCACATTGGATTAAGGCCAACCCCAGTGTCCTCTTTTTAACTAACATAACATCAAGGTGGGCCTTGCTGAAGACCTGAGATGCAAAGACCAAGGAGATGAGGGTCTTTATGCTGCCATAAACGTGAGTGTGCATATATCGCTGTGGTATTATGCTCTTAATTCTTTGGGGAAGATACCTAGAATAGCTGGGTCAAATGGAAACTCTAGTTTTAGTTTTTTGAGAAATGTCCACACTGATTTGCACGAGTCTACACTCCCATCAGCAGTGGAGCAGGGTTCCTTTCTCCCCACAGCCCCACCAGCATTTGTTATTGATTTCTTGGTGACAGCCATTCTTTCTAGAGTGAGATGCAATCTCAGTGTTGTTTTAATCTGCATCTCACAGTTGACCAGTGACGTTGAACATGTTTTCTTGTATTTAGTTGCTGTTTCTTCTACTTCATCTAAGAAGTGTATTCATTTCAGATGCCCATATTTAGATTGAGTCTTTAAATGGGGGGGGTAATCTTTAAGTTCTTTATATATTCTAGATAGCAGTCTGTTGTCTGAGGAACAGCTGGCAAAAATTTTTCCACCGTGAAGGTTGTCTCATCACTCTGTTGGTTTCCCTTGTTGTGCAAAAGCTTTTTAATAAGCCAAGATCCCAGTTGTTGATTCTTTGTGATAGTTCTGTGTGATCAGGGTTTTGTTCATAAAGTCTTTGCCTACACCAATGTCTTGAGTTCTACCTATTCTATCTTCCAGCAGATTTTATATTTCTGTTTTAATATTTAGATTGTTGATCCATTTCAACTTTAGTGCATAGCGAAAGATGTGGCTCTAGTTTTAATCTTTGACAGGTGGAAAGCCAATTTTTCCAGCACTATTTATTAAAGAGGCTTTCTTCCAGTGAAGGTGTTTGTCTCCTTTGTCAAAGATAAGGTGTCTGAGTAAGTCTGGAGTTGTTTCTATATCTTCTAATCTGTTCCATTGATCCTCGGTTCTGTTCTTTTGCTGATACCATGTTGTTTTATCATATAGTAGCTTTGTAGTATAGTTTAAAGTCAGGAATTGTGCTGCCCCCTGCTTTGCCTTTGTTGCCCAGAATTGCCTTTGCCATTCTAGGTCTCTTCTGGTTCCACATGAGTATTAGGATCTAATTCTGTGAGACACGCTATTGGAATTTTGATTGGGATTGCATTAAATTTATATAACAATTTTGGAAATATGGTCATTTTCACTGTAATAGTTCTTCCTACCCAAGAATAGGGATATCTTTCTGATACCCTCTTTGATCTCCTTTTTCAGAGTACTGTAGTTTTCAATGTAGTAGTCTTTTACCAGCTTCATTAGATTCATTCCTATTTAACTTTTTTGGGGTGCTACTGTGAAATATGTTGTTTCCCTAATTTCTCTCTCAGTGAGTTTGTTATTCATGTACAGGAAGGCTATTGATTTCTGAGCATTGACTTTGTATCCAGCTGCACTACAGAATTTAGTTATTGTATCTAGAATTCTTTTAGTGGAGTTTTGGGGGTCTTTTATGTAGAGTGTCATGTTACCCACAAAAAATGATGACTTCTTCTTTTCCTATCCTTATTGAATTTATTTCTTCTTCTTGTCTAATTGTTCTGGCTAATATTTCCAGAATTATATTGCATAAGAGTGGTGATGGTAGCCAGGGATTTAGCTCAGTGGTGCCACTGCCTACCTTGCCAGAGCAAGGACCCAAGTTTGCCTGGTACCAAAAAAAAAAAGAGAGAGAGAGTGGTGATGGTGGACATCCTTGTCTTGTTCCTAATTTTAGAATGAAAGCTTTCAGTTTTTGTCCATTTAGTATGATATTGGCTGTTGGTTTGTCATAGATGGCTTTTATCAGATTGAGATAAAGACCATCTATTCCAATTTTCAATAGAGTGTTTATTATGAATGGGTGTCCAATTTTGTCAAATACTTTTTCTGCATCTATTGAGATGATCATATGTTTTTTGTCTTTGACTCTGTTAAGGTAGCACATTACATTTATTTATTTGTGTATGTTGAACCTTCCATGCATCTCTGGGGTGAATCCTGCTTGGTGTATAACATTCTCAGTAATTTGCTGCATTCCGTTTGCCAGTATATCTTACTGAAGATTTTTATGTAGTTCTCTTTTTTGGTTAGATCCTTCTCTGGTCTTGGAATCAGAGTAATGTTTGCTTCCAGGAAGGAATTCAGAGTATTGTTTCCTTTGCAGTTTCATTAAAGAGTTTGAGAAGTGGCAGCATTAGGTCTTCTCTAAATTTCTTGTAGAATTCAGTAGTGAATTCATCAGGTCCTGGGCTTATCTTTCTTGATAATTACATTATCAATTTCATTGACTAATATTAGCTTATTTAGAATTTTTGTATCTTTTTGGTCCAACTTTGTAATTCATATGTATCAAGGATTCTGTCCATTTCTTCTGTGTTTTCCATCTTATTAGAATACTGGTTCTTGAATTAGGTACTACTGAACTTCTGGATTTCTGCAGGATCTGTTGTGATTTTACCCTTTTCATTCCTAATTGTATGGATTTGAGTCTTTTCTTTCCTTTTGTTGATAAGGTTGGCTAAGGCTTTGTCCATTTTATTTAATCTTTCAAAGAACCAACACTTTCATTCATTGATTCTTTGTGTTGTTTTCTTAGTCTCCATTGCATTAATTTCCACTGTGATCTTTATATTTTCCTCCCTCATGTGAGCTTTAGTTTGACTTGCTCTTCTTTTTCTAGAAGCTTAAACGTTCAACATTAGGTTATTTGCGCTCACTCTGTTTTCCTGATATGGATATTCATTGCTACTGCTATAAATTTCCCTTGTAGGACTGCTTTCATTGCATCCCATGAGTTCTGGTATGTTGTATTGGTATTATCACTTAAAGATAGAAATTGTCTGATTTCTTCTTTAGTTTCATCTGTGACCCATTGGTTGTTCAGAAGGATATTATTTAATTTCCATGTGTTTATGAAATTCTTGAGGTTTCTTTTGCCATTGATTTCCAATTTCATTGCACTGTGGTCTGATAGTATGCATGGGATTAATTTCAAATCCTTTGCATTCACTTGAGCATGTTCTATGAGTTAGTATGTAGTCTGTTTTGGAGAACGTCCCATGCGAAGAATGCGTATTCTGACGTTGTGGAGTGGAACACTCTGTAGACATCTACTAAGTCCATTTGTTCAAAAGTTTCGTTCCATTCTAATATTTCATTGTCAATTTTTTTTGTCTAGTTGACTGAGTCTAGTTTGTGACTGCTGGGTACTGAGGTCCCTCCAGGGGGATTATTGTGGAGTGTGAAATACAGGAGACAGTGACAACCAAGAGCTTTTGGCCTTAGTGGGTGGAAGGGACGGCGCTGAGATGGGGAGAGCTGGGGTGGGGCCACACCGGGTGACATTGGAGTCAGTGGAGGCCTCAGAATTGTCCCTTAAACACACAGGTGTGGATGTGAGGTGGCAGTGGGCTGTTGAGCTGGAGTTTGCGGGTGACATGACGGAGTCGTGCATGTGTGTTTTTCCTGTGTCCTCACAGCTGTGTGGGTGGCTGAGGAATTCCCAGGAAGGAGCAGCTCGGGCCTCTGGTGCCATTTCACAGTCTCACGAGGGCTCACATGGATCGAGGCCTCCCCGGGGTCAGGGATCTTCTCAGGGAAACTTCCTTCTTGAAGGGAGGGGTTCTTCGATCCTGGGTCATTGTACTAAGGGACTGGTGCCACTGACTCCGAGTGTCACCCACAGGTGGGAGATGGTGGGGCCATGGGTAGTGACATGGCCAAGAAAGGCAGCTCTTGAATCACCTGGTTTTTGGCTTCTCGGGCTCCAGTGTCTTTCCCACATCTGTTTTCCTCTCACTTCTCTAAGCCCATGGGCCCCATCTGCTCCCGAAGGCAGCCCAGGAAAGAGACGGTAAAGCTCAACCTGCCACAGATAGAACGGCCCTAGCAAAGGGTGTTTCTTTTCATGGGGTCTCATGGGGACATCAGTCATTATATTTTTTTCCTTGAAAGGGATCTCGAACAGGTGGAATTTAACTATTGTGCAGATGTGGGTTCAAGCACAGTCCAAACAACCGTGTTGTGTCCCCACTGTGGGAGGAGATTTTATTGTGGAAATGCATTGCTGTAAAGTTTAGGGTCAGGTCAGTGCCCGTCTCTGCACTGGTGTCATCTGGTAAACCCACTTTCTCAAGGACACAGCTGCTTGCTTGCTCACTTGCTGAATTCACGCCCTGATTTACTTCTCAGCTCTCACTGCCAAGAGTGGCAGCTGCTCCTTTCCTCTCAGGCTGCCACTTCCAAGTCCTGCCAGTCCCCACGTCTCACAGTGACACCAGTCACGCTGAATCAAGACCCACCCTAAGGGCCTCACTTTATGTTTGTTACCTCTCTTGTGTCCCTGACTCCAGCTAAGGTCCCATTCTGAGGCATTGGGCATTAGACTCTTCTGCAAGTTTAGGGCAGGTGCATTTCTACCGGATCTTTGCACATGAAGGCTTGCACGTTCATGGTGACCGGCAGCAGCACTGTTACACATCCAGCCTGGACACTGTGTCTTCTGCCCTTGAACGGAACACTTTTTATCCTAACACTTCCCATACCATTTCATATCCTCTCTCCTTCTTTCTCAGACTAAACATGGACTCTATGTGGTGCTTTATTCTATTCATCTCCTCAGACACGTGAGCCTGCCCGGGAGGTTTTCCTGTCTGTCGCTCACCCAGAGCCACCTGCAGTCTCCTGGCCTGTGTCAGCCTAGGCCTCACTGTTACTGCACGGAGGGAGAGTATTACAACATCCTTACTAAGAAGGGTTTTCTAAAGATATCAGTGCTTGTTCTTGGGGGTGCGGGATTTGGAGGCTTTAACTTGACATTTCCCCGAGGGGAGAAATGTGTCTTGTTAGCCTGCCCCTGGGAAGGACAGTGCCTGTAGGAAGCAGCTGTGCTGTGGACCACACACGGGCTCTCTGCTCTCGATGGAGTAAGACATTGAAGACAGTCTTAGACCTCTGAGTGGGTGAGGCTGTCAGGACAGGCCGGCTTTGCCCCCTTCCGTGGGCAGTCCTCGGGCAGGTGAGGGGAGCCGGTCTCCTCTACACCTTGGGCGTACCTGTCCAGGTGCAGCAGCAGGTGTGGTACCCTGGGGCGCATCTCTCAGAGAGCCTCTGTGCTGCCTTTTTGGCCTGGAGTCTCCAGCCATCCTCTGTTTTCCAAGTGGATTTTTATATAAATGACTTGTTTTTATTTATTTGTTATTTATTTATTTATGTTTGCAGGACTAGACTTTGAACCCAGGGCTTTTGCACTAAACCACATCCCTAGCTTTCTCTTATTTTGAGACAGGGTCTCACTAAGTCACTATATTGCCCAGGCGAGGTTTAAACTTGCAAATCCTCCTGCCTCAGGCTCCTAGAGTGCTGGGATTACAGGGGTGTGCCACCCCTAACAAGGTAAAATGAATTATTTTCTAAATCCTTGCATTAAATTTTAGAAGTGATTTCTTCCATAAAATTCTTTCTTTCCTTCCTTCCTTTCTTTTTCTTTTCTTTTCTTTTCTTTTCTTTTCTTTTCTTTTCTTTTCTTTTCTTTTCTTTTCTTTTCTTTCTTTCTTCCTTTCTTCCTTTCTTCCTTTCTTCCTTTCTTCCTTTCTTCCTTTCTTCCTTTCTTCCTTTCTTATCCTTTCTTCCTTTCTTCCTTTCTTTCTTTCTGTCGAGACAGGGTCTCACTGTGTAGTTGGACTAACTTGGAACTCTCCTCCTGCCTCAGTGCTGGGATTACAGGCATGTGCCACCATGCCTAGCCTTCCATAATATTAATAATCCCAATTGTTCCTTTAAGTTGTTCATTCTTTGGAAAAATTTTAATTGTGGTAAAATATACATATAATTTACCATTTTATCCATTTACAAGGGCACAGTTCCATGGCATTAAGTACATTCACGTGCTTGCATCCTAAATGACCAAGTAGAACTCAGGCTATCTAATCCAGATCTTCAATATGTAGGGTTTAACGGAAACTTGGAATTTTAGAGGGGGAAAAATCTGGTTATTATGCATTCTAAGTTCCTCACAATTCAGGAGCACAGTGGGGAGTCACTGCAACTCCCTTTAGTAGGGAGAGAGCTGCATTCCATGCTTGGTTCTGTGACCCAAGTTCATCATTAGTTCAAAGTCCTAGTTCACTGTCTATTCTTCCTTTAATTCTTAATATGCTTGTCACCCAACTCTGTCCCTAGCTCTTTCCCTTGCTAGCTGCCTTACTTACTCATAAGCTAACTAAACTATTTTCTACACTACAATTTGTTAGTCTCTGTTACCATTTATCAAAGGAGGTCACTGTGTGTCTACCCAAGGGAGTCACTCGCAGTTCTCCAGAGAAGCAGAACCACGAGGCTCTGTAGAGAAGTTTGGGAAGAGATTTCTTCCGGGAACTGGCTCACACAATTAGGGAAGCTGAGAAGTCCCACAAAACACCATCCACAGCTGGAACCCAGGGGCAGTTCAGCATCTGAAGGCCTGAGAACCAGGAGTGGAGCGCCACCCAAGGGCAGCAGAAAGGATACTCAAGCAAGGAGCAAGTTTGCCTTGCCTTCGCCTTCTTGTTCCATTCCGGCCCTTACTGCGCTCAGTGAGGCCACTTGCATCGGTGAAGGTGAATTTCTTCACTGTCTACCATTTGAAATGCTAATCTCCTGTAAAACAAAAAAACAACTCACCGATACCACCCCCTAGTTTGCCCAGCTATCTAGGCATTCCATAGACTGCTGAAATTGACACCTAAAATTATCTCTGCCCCCAAGAAGGAGACCGCACAGGTATTTTAGGAAAACAAAGATTACGGAGTAGTCTGTCTTATACTTCATACTTCATTACTTCTCTGCTTTGTTCTGTGTTTTTTAGGAGAGGAGTTCATTACTTCGGAAGTGGTACGATTTAATGATGCAAAATAAGGATGACCTTGCCAAAATTATCACAGCCGAGAGCGTAAGTTCAGGATCTTTGCTGCTACCTTGAGAAATTGCCCCAGAACTTTTAGACTAAAGCTTGGGCAAGTTTCTGATTTCCTACCAGTGTTGTTCTGTAGCTGAAGAATGTGTGAATCCTTATACAATATCCAGATACCGAATCGTTATTGTGCCAGGAGGTCCCATTTACTAAAATGCAATTTGCATGTTTTAGTTTATTCTTTACTAATATGCAAACATAGGTTTGTTTGGAACTGTATGAATACTGCTTTTTACCATCCCAGTTTTTTCTGTGTGACTGTCTTGATCTTTCATGTTGTTTTTGTACAATATTAGAATGTACCCACATTTTCTCCATAGTTACAACAAATGATTGAAACCATACTTCACCATTTAGGACATCTTAGAAGGAGGAGAAAAAACATTAGAAGATGAAGTGCTAGGTGTCTCCCTAACTTGTGAACACGTTGAAGATGCAAATGATTCTGTGACTTAGGTGACACAGCCATATTTATCTCCATTATTGTTTGTAATTCTGCTTCCATATACCTACAACTAAGTTAGAAATTTTCCAGCAGCCCTGTGAGTTCTGTAATGGGAGACTTTTCTACTCGTCTCACAGCCTTGAGGAATTTAGAAACACAGTCATGCCTTTGTTACTAGAAGTTAATAATGTGTCCTTTTCTGATTTAATTTAGGGAAAGCCACTAAAGGAGGCACAGGGGGAGATCCTCTATTCGGCCAGCTTCCTAGAGTGGTTTTCGGAGGAAGCTCGCCGCATTTATGGAGACATTATCTCTACTGCTGCCAAGGAAAGGCGGGCCCTGGTCCTCAAGCAGCCCCTGGGTGTGGCCGCAGTCATCACACCTGTAAGTGCTGGACGGGCAGATCCCAGGGTCGGTGGTTGGGTAGGGAATCCAGGGAGCATGCTCTTCCTTGTGAGCAGGTGTTTTCGTCCTGTTACCTTTGTTAGCTGCGTGGTTTCCTGATTCCTTTACTGTGGAGGATATTTCGTGCTCCTCTGGGATAAGGTTAGGTATGAGGGTGGTGATGTTGGTGGTGAGTGGAGTACACATTGCTGATGCCTTCAGAAATCATGTGACCCACATGGGGACCCAGGTGGCTTTTCTGTCTTGCCATAAAGTAGCGATGGCGAACCTTTTAGAGGCCGAGTCCCCAAACTGCTAGTGATGTCATCGCCCAGAACTGATGCTGCTTGCCGAGCATGCGCATGGCCCCTCTGTGCACTGTTCATTACTGATGCTCAGCTGCTGGAGCGATTCTAGGGCAAGCTGGCTCGTGTGCCAACAGAGAGGGCTGTGTGTGCCCACTGTGGCACATGTGCCATGGCTCCGCCAACACTGCCGTGAAGTCTTCTTCCTGGCATTTTCTAGCTCTTCAGAAAAGATTGTCTGGAATTTGCCATTTTTAAGAAGGTTTAAGACAGCAGACATTTTTAAGTGTCCATAGTTTGGGGAAAAATTGTTTCTATTATAGCTATGATCAATAGCAGCCCATGTATGTACCCACCAGCAGGTCAGGATCAGGTTCTGGAGTGCACAAGGCGAAGAATATGAGGCTGCGTCTGCCTGGATGGGGCTGCAGTACTCACGGAGCAGCCCCTCCTGGATCTCTTCACCAGCTCCCGCATTCACTTCTCTTCAGGATTTGCCAGCTGGTCCAAGACCCTGTCCCTCCCTGCTGGGTACAGGCACAGGCAGAGTCCTCCTTAGTGTCCACACTGACTGGCTTTGACCCAAGGATCTCTTGGCCTCCAGCAGGTTCTTTGTCAGTTTCCCCAATGGTAATAGTAATATCAACGTCAAGAGACGTGATAAAGATGTCGTGATTTAAAGTGCTTAGAACAATACCTAACGTAGAATAAGCACTATACAAGTATTTGTCAAAATAAAATATGGTCACTATAGATATGTAGATGTCTATAGGTACCTGTATAAAGAGGGAAATGAATCATTTATCATTTTCAAAATCGCTGTGGCTAATATCTTCTCCCAAGGGCCTCCGCCAAATCCACACTGTGTTTGGAAGTAGTTTAATTGGGAGATGCCACATCTGCTTGTGTGCTTAGTATCATCTTTGATAGGTTTCAGGATATAACTTCAGAGCTGAATTAGTTGTGACAGGAGCTGTACATTTCACAAAGCCTACAATTCTTACCATCTGGACCTTTACAGGAAATACAGGTCCACACAGTTTTGACCTGTGTGAAACTCACATTTCCTGTCTTTAAGGGCACCTTTACCTCCCAAGTCCCTCAAGTCAGCAAGGGTAAGGTGCTCTGGGTGATCACCTAGGCAGCCGGGAGCTGTGCAGGGGAATCTGCTGCCTGCCTGCCGGTGGAAGAGTGAGGTCCTTCTTCTCACACCTGTCTTCTGCTCTTTGGTCCCAGTGGAATTTCCCCAGCGCTATGATCACCCGGAAAGTGGGGGCTGCCCTGGCAGCCGGCTGCACTGTGGTGGTGAAACCTGCGGAGGATACGCCCTTCTCCGCCCTGGCCCTGGCCCAGGTGAGCCTCCCCTGGGACTCTGCGGAGCCAGCCAAGTCCAACAGTGGGTTTTCCTCAGGGACACAACAAAGCTGTTTTGTGGCTTCTTGCTTTGCCTGCATCTCCTGCAACATAATGTTGTGTTTTAATCTGCTGAAAATTATTTTAAGTCAGGAGTTGCTCTTTTCAGAAAAAAAAATGGATGGGAGACTTTCTGATGCCTACAGGCCATGTATTTTTTAGTCCACTGTAAAAATGCTATCTATCCATCATCTTCATTAAAATGTCAGTGATTCTCACATTTGGAGTCCCTGTCGCTCCTGCGGCTGCTCCAGTTTGACCTGCATCCAGGCAAATCTTTTTTTTTTTTTTTTTGGTACTGGGGATTGAACTTGGATCCTTGCGCTTGCGAAGCAGGTGGTGGAACCACTGAGCCAAATCCCCAGCCCCATCCAGGCAAATCTTACTCTGCTTGAAACCCCTGTGGTGGTGCATTCCTGTAATTCAGCACCGTGGGAGGCTGAGGCAAGAGAATCACAAGTTCCATCCCAGCCTGGGCAAGTCAGTGACTTAGTGAAACACTGTCTTAGAGTTTAAGTATTTATAAAAAGGCGGGAGAGGTAGGTCAGTATGAAGACCCTGGATTTGATTCCTGGTACCACAGGGATGCCTCTCCCAACCTCTGGTGTCCTCTACCCTTGTCTGTCACCCTAGAGCATCTCATCATCTCAGGTTCCATGGGTCACCCCCAGCCTGGAGCACTGTCCCCCCACACACTCATGACGTGCTGCTTCCTGTCTGCATGTTTTATAGAAAACTCACAGCAGCAGCACAGGGATTTCTCGCATGCACACTCAGCTTCCCGCGTTACCAGGGAAGGAGCTAGTGCCACCTCACACAGTGTCAAATACACATATTGATTACTTCAAGCAGCAGTCACTTGAGGAACCATAACCAGAAAGGCCCATTTGGGCCGGCTACAGTGGTGCACTCCTGGGAGCCCCGCTACTCGGAGGCTGAGGCACGAGGACTGCAGTATCAAGGGCAGACTGGACAGCCTAGCGAGACCCTGTCTCAAGAAATGCAAATGCTGGGGATGCAGCTCAATCCCCAGTGCTGGAAAAACAAACCCCTGGCTTTGTGCCGTTCCTCCGGTCTTATCCGAGCTTCCCTCTCCTGCTCACAGTGGGCATCCAGGTGCTTCCCTGCGCACTTGTGGCCCTGTGGCTGGTGGCCGCCGGAGATACCTTGCTGCTAAGTCTTGTCATAAATATTTCCTGTAATTTTCTCATTGTAAATGCCATACTTTGGGTCTGCTACCCAGTTGCTGTCTTTGTGAGAAGATTTAGGGAAATTGAGAAACACTGCTTCTACTGCCATCTTCCCAGAATCCCAGTCAGGTTTATATAGTAGGTTATGTTCATGAGATTCAGAAATTCAAATAATTCAGGACACATCTTATCCAAAGAGAATCACTGCAGAGTGTGTATAGGTCCGCAGCTGGCTGCCCTGAGCAGCAGCTGCCCCTCTAGTGCCCTGGGGAGGCTTTGGCTGGGCTCTTCTCTCTGCCTCCCTTTCCTCACTTCCAGCTGGGCATGGTGGTGCACGCCTGTAATCCCAGCACTTGAGAGGCTGAGGCAGGAGGATCACCATGAGTTCAAGCTAGCCTGGACAACACAGTGGAACCTTGTCTCAAAAAACAAAGCAAAACTAAAATACACACACACACACACACACCCCTTTCCTAATCTCTGCCCTGGAAGATGGACTCAGAGGCACTTTGCTTGTGGCCCAGCACCAATAGCTTGGCACTAAACATCTTTCCACCCTCCACCTGGAGAATCACCACCTTTTTTTCTTGAATGCCCCTCTGCATTTTCTTGGGAAAGAAATCTAAAGTTGTTTGACTAGCAAGTGACAGCAAGATTTATATCCCAATACATTTATTTTAATGATGTTTAACATACATTAATGTTAAATCATTTTGGCACTAAAAATCACATTTCAGTTTCATATACATTTGATATATGAATATATAAACGCATCATTACATATTGGGCATGGATATCGATATGTACTTATGCTAGGGATGAAGCCCACATTCCACCTCTGAATCGCCCCAGCCCCAGGTGGATTTACTCCACACACGTACTTGCTTCAGCAGCACAGACCCTGTGAGCCCAAGGTCAGCTTCATTTTCTTTCCATTAATTTGTGGGTTGTACATCTACACATTTCAGTTTTCCGCTTCTCTCTCAGTCTAATAACCTGTTGCTGGCTGTTTCCCTCCACAGCTCGCAAACCAGGCAGGCATCCCTTCCGGCGTGTACAACGTAGTCCCCTGCTCCAGAACCAAGGCCAGGGAGGTTGGGGAGGTGCTCTGTACCGATCCGCTGGTGTCCAAAATCTCCTTCACTGGCTCTACAGCCACGGGAAAGGTATGTGGTAGGACTCAGAGAAAATAAGTGTCATTCCAGTTTTGTTTTTTGTTTTCTCTTTTTCTTTTCCTTCCTTCTCCACTGCCCTTGGTTTTCTGAAACTGTATCTCACTATGCAGTCCAGGCTGGACTTCAACTTGAGGTGATCCTCCTGCCTCAGCCTCGAAGCACTGGGATTACAGACATGTGCAGTCATGCCTGGCTTTCTTTTTTATAGAGTATAAAAGTACTATTTTATTTTCATCACAGTTTTTAGTAAGATTTCTAGCAGAGCATTAAAGCTTTCCTAACACGGTGTCTGCTCATCCTCTGGAGATATTTGGGACTGTGATGCCTACTGTGACATGACATGGGCGCAGGGTGACAATACCAGAGCAACAAGGGCCCCAATGTTTTGCTTAATGTCAGGCAGCTGAACACTATTCATTGGATTTCTTTAATTCCAGATTGCACATTTTTTTCACAGTCTAGAATTAAAGATTCCAGAAACTCATCAATGATGCTGAAATGGGTGTCTTGGAATTGAACAAAAATTCTATACAGGTACTTCCAGAAATGGAAGACCTTTTTCTTTTTGGCTGTGTTTTTTTTCCTTTGGTGCCGATGAGTCCATTCTTTAAAACTTCACACATGTCCCTGGGAGCAGATTTTTATTGATCCATTTAAGTGTTCAAAAAAGGGAAAAGTCAGGGTGAAACTGAAGTTCTCATTTACAGTGTTTCCAGATAATATGCCCTTTCCTACTACACGTATGTGTACGTGTGCTTGTGGACATGTGTGTGCATACTCATGCTAGACCTACGGAAAAAACAGGGGGCCAAATATAAAGCAAATCTGAAAGTTTTTGTGAAAGTGGTCATTTTTAGAAAGCATGAAGAGGAGGTAGGAGTAACGCAGTTATCAGATGATTCCCAAGAAGTCACCTTTGTCACGCCGTATGGTCCCACTCGGGCAGCAGCCCTTTAAATTCCTTCCACCCACTCATCCCACCTACCGTCCACTCAGCCCTTCTCCTGTCCATCCATCTCAAAGCAGGGATGTTTATGTCCAAGAACTGCCGTGCTCCTGGTTGGTGGATCTGGCCGTGAGGACTTACAGGGCTTCGGATGTCGCTGTGAAGTAGAGAGAGGACGGGAAGAAAGCTGTGACAGCAGGGAGATCCCGGAGCGTTGGGCACAGGGCAGTGACCCCACCCCCACCCCCGTTCTTCCAGTTTCCTCAGCAAACTGTCAGCAGCTGTCTGGTCTCCAGGAAAGTGTCAACCGTGTTTCCTCCGATCTGGCTTTGCTGCTCTTTACCTAGGACAGTGATTTGCTCCAGTGACATAAAGGGAACAGTGATAAGTATAGCAAAAATTGTCTGGACTGGATGTGTAGAGCATGAGCTTAGCATGGGCAAGAGCTCAGGTTCCCTTGACAGCACTAAAATGATAATAACAACCATGACAGCAGCAACAACAGCTCAGCTCTGTGTCAGGGGCCTCTTCTGAGCCAGGTGAGAATCCAGAGGATCTGCAGCTGAGCTCCTGGTCCCTGGGCACAGGCTCGCCTCTTAGATGAAGCACACACAGGGCAGTGTTCTGGAGGTGCCCCTGCCCTCATCCCCTGCGGGGCCGCCCCCTCCCAGGGCCCTGCGGAGTGTGGTACAGCTCACGACACCTGCTCTCTCCCGAGAGCGGTCACCTGAGGGAAGCAGCATGCACAGGCTGGCAGTGACTGAGGACAGTGGCCCGGCAGACCCGGGGAGCTGGGTGCTGTGGTCAGCACAGAACCAGGGACAGTGTTGTTGCAGCTCCAGGACTCATGACAGCCAGACTGGGCCGTCTGGGAAGAAGCTGAGTAACTCAGTGGTGACCCCACAATGGGAACCATCTTCATACTGGAGAAAGTTCCAAAGAGACAACAGCCTGGCAGACGGCACTTCTTAAAAACTTTGAATGAAAAGGGTTGTGTTGAGTCTAATAAATATGTTTAAGCCAGGCACGGTGGCACACGCCTCTAATCCCAGCCCTTGGGAGGCTGAAGTAGGACTGCCACAAGTTCGAGGCCAGCCCGGGCTACATAGCAAGATTCTGTCTCAGGAAGGAGGCTGGGGTGACAGAGTGTTACGAACATGTTAAGATGTTCCGGGTAAATGGCTAGAGAGGAAGATTAAGCAGATAAAGCTGTATGATTATGCCCTATTGTTTTCTTTTTTTAAAGGGAAAAATACATGTCCGTGATGCTGCATTCTGAATATGCACCTTGAAATGCTGTTAGTGGTAAACCATAGCTTGTGGGATTCTGGGTGATTTCTAAAATCTTATTTCTGTATTATGATGTGTAAACCTACCCCACATATTTTAATACATGGAAACTTAAGGCAGTGCCTGTTCACCTTGAGACATCCCGCCCTGTCCCTATCACATCTCTTCTTCTTCTCCCATGTACACAGTATGAGTGCACACCACTTTTGTCTCTCCCTCTTCCCCTGCACACTGCTGCCCCATACACACTGTGTGCGCCTCGTTGCTTTCATTACTAGGTGACGCTGCTGGCAGAGACTTCATGGCTCTGGTTGCTGGGTTTGTGCTCACGCATTTGCATTGTGCCCACTGCTGCAGGTCCTGTTGCACCACGCAGCCAGCACAGTGAAGAGGGTCTCCATGGAGCTAGGTGGCCTGGCCCCATTCATCGTCTTCGACAGTGCCAACGTGGATCAGGCTGTGGCAGGGGCCATGGCATCTAAATTTAGGAACGCTGGTCAGGTGAGCTATGTAAAATGTCCAGGGTCTGGGGGTGTAGAGATGTGGGCCTAGTAAAGACCACACCAGTACCACCTCCACCGCCTTACTCATCTCCTGTGGGCCTTCTGCTGCTGGTCAGCTGCGGGTTCTCTCTCTTGACTGGAGTGGAAATCACCTTGAGCGCCAGTACCCTTGGCCCTTGGTGCTACAGTCTGGGCTCTGTGTGCCTGTAGCCTTCAGCACTTCTAGCCCCCAGCCCTCAGTTACAGCTCTGGCCGTTGCCTCTGGCCAGCTCCTCAGTAGCCAAGGCTCTGCCCTGAGTCATCTGGAGCTCTTAGCAGCTTCTGCTCGTCTCTGGAAAGCAATCTGCTCTTCCTCCTTTCACATTTCCACAGGATTTATAGAACTACCGGAACAAGGCTTTATTTGAACAGAGTCTGTGCAGTACATGCACGGAGAAGGCCCTCCGAGGTTAACTGGAGGAGTATTAGAGGAGTGTTGCTGCTTATATAAAGCAACAGCAGGCCTGTGATTGCACAAATTTGAGCCTGCTGATTGGCCTGAATTCAAGCTTGCTGATTCAGATCTGATTCTAATTCAAGCCTAGTGTGGTCAGGGCAGACATCTCCCTGGACTTGTGCAGGATGGCCAGGACAGCTGCACTGTAGCTCTCCGCCGAAGCATGCCCCCTTCTGGCTGTCAGCTAAAAAGGGGAAGGGTTGGGTTGGCTGTGTCTGGTCTCATTTCCATCCTACTTCATTCATTCTTTCATGGAGCCTTTATTGATTCCTTTTTATTGTACTAGGGACTGTGCAAAGTTTGGGTAGACCACAGGGAGGTAAGGCGTAGTCTCTAGCTTCAGAGGGTTTCCTGAATTGCAGATGTCTTTCAATCAAACAGTGCACTCTTTTCTCTTTTTCTATGCTTTACGTCTGGTTGTTTCCACGGATCTCCCTTACTGGGTTTTTCACTACTGAATGGATGTAGTCATTTCCTCAGACACAAAACAGTCTTCAGCAGAGAAGGTCTGAGGTCCCCTGTCTTGAGGAAAAGAAAGGAGGAAAATTTCTTCCTAAGCTTCTTAGGAAGTAGTCTTTAGCTGTGGCCTTAATGTATCATCGATTTTAAATGCTTTTAGGAAATCGAATAAATACATCTGAAAGGTTCTCTTATGAAAAGGTGAAATGTCGCATTCTATTTTGTGTTGGTTTTCTTTGTTTTGGCCTTTGGTAATTAATTTTTCCCACTTCACATAACTTTAATAGACTTGATTCTTTCAGAAATAGACATGCTTTCCTATACATAACCCAAATACTAATGTGTGTAATTTTCAGTGTTAAGCCATAAGCTTACAACTTTGGGGCAAGTTTCTTTATGCCAATAAACATGCATAGTATGTGAAATATATGTATACTTTTTTCTACTAGGCTAATATATGATGAAGAAAAAAAATTTGATCAGTGATTACTACATTTCTTTTAGCTGCATTTTATAACTTAAAATACTAGGTCTGATCTGATTAGAAAAAAAGCAAGAGTTTTTTTCAGTAATTTAGGCTAACATGGAAGAAGGGCCTTAGGTCCATTTTTTAGAAGGAGCTCAATTTTTTTATTTTTTATTTTTTTGGTACCAGGGATCAAATGCAGGACCTTGCACTTGCAAGGCAGGCGGCAGCACCACTGAGCTACATCCCCGGGCCAGGTCCATTTTTTAAATGACAGATTCAGTCAAACACTTGGAAAGATGCATCTAGAAAGTGTAAGTTAGCATTTGACCTCATTCTTTGTAGCCTCTGTGGTCACTGCCAAATTGTTATCTCTCCAGGGGGTTATGGCCCCTTTTTCCTACTTGTTTTAGAACAGTTTCTTCAAGCCACTTAAAAAAAACCAACGTGGGGTGAGTGGCCATTAGTCTTGTTTTACACAGGGATATTTACACCTACTCACGTGTTGGACTGTACCTGTGTAGCAGCAAGGGAGGGAGGCCAAGAGGAAGTACAGTTATCTTTGGGCCCAGCCCACCTGGGGGAGGAGAGCAGCCCCAGGTTGGACGCATAACAGCTGTGTGTTCCCGGCAGGGAGGCAACTGTGTCACGTTTCCTGGCTGGATCAGTAGTTCCCAACAAACCGACTGTGGGTTTGCTTCTGTCTCCTATCCAGACTTGTGTTTGCGCAAACCGATTCTTGGTGCAAAAGGGTATCCATGATGCCTTTGTAAAAAAATTTGCTGAAGCAATTCAGAAAAGCCTGCGTATAGGGAATGGATTTGAGGAGGGAACTACTCAAGGCCCATTAATTAATGAAAAAGCAGTAGAAAAGGTAAGTTCATTTCATTATCTCTGAAAGTAAACTGTATGGTTTCAAACTGAAAAGCTTAAAACAAAAACACTTTGGTGAGGTGCCCAGCAAACTTATTTTGGAAACAGTGGAGAAATTTGTAAAAAAAAAAAAAAAAAAAAAGAGAAT